GAAACCGCTTAAAGTTAAGCAAGTAGTTGTCTTCAAGCCGAACCTTTCAAAACCTAAGGCAACTCATGAGACGGGTAAACCAAAATCTCCTTTTCAAATAGAGCTGGCTACCTTAAAAAATCGTCAGTAAAGAATGAATTTGTGGATGACATACCAGCGATGTCTAATGAGATGCTCAGATAAGTATAGACGAACAAGGAGTGGGAAATGTTCAAAAGAAAAATAACCGATGCTGCCAAACCGTTTAGTGGTTTAAGGCTCGTATAGTGACTGACGTCAAGAAACAAACTCCGTAGCAAAACGGGGACTTCAAGGCACCGTCAGAGTATAGGTGACATTGAGAGGTTGACTGAGACATCATAATTTTTATATGGCTAGATATATTTCCAATACTGAAATATCATAAAATTCAGCCGTAAAACTTAGCCAGCGGCTACTCATGCTATTACCTCATTCAACATTATACAGCTTCGGCTGTTATCCAGGTTATCAGTGGCCGAGCAGCCAGTTGGAGGACTGAGGCAGGTGCGTAAAGTTAGCAATTAGAACTTGCTCACCTCTTTCTGGACGCCTGGTGCATAGCAGCACGACTACGGCTGCCGAAGATCGACAAAACGATGACCAAAGTACCAACCAACAATGGAGTCGCTACCCGTTCTGGACGGAAGAGGCACGCAGCGCACTGCCATTATAGCACAACAGTAAGGCTGCACGGGAACGACACATATAGATGGGAATTCGCAGTCGGAAAAGAACGTTTCCTCAGTCAGAGGGAAAGAGGAAGAACGATTAATGGATCAGTGAGTTACTGACTTGACACAGTTGGACTCTCGTCAACGAAGCACCAGGGATCTGGAATTCAGAGCATCTTCAGATAGAAGCTATTCTACTAGTCAATCGACATCACGAAGCACGTACACACTGGTGCTGGAGTTTTGGTAAAACACAACATAGCTGACAGACATTACATGGAAACCTATCAGCAGAGGAGTGTAAATCTCCGACTGCGGTTATAATAGGCGAAAGCCTTGACCCACTTCATTCTGGAGGGAGAATATGAATCACTGCTTGAGGCAACGAAATATGTTTTGTTCAAAGTGCAAACTACGGAGTCCCTAATTCTAGAGGGCGATTTCATTGCACGTCTTTGAGTATACGGTCAAAGGTGGAATGGCGTGATTGGAAAGAACGGCCCAAGGGACTTCGAAAACAACGGCATGAAGTTGTTGCGGCTTTGTGCAAACAACGGATTGTCCATTATGAACACTTCTTCGAGCATCGAAATGTGCATCAGTGCACCTGGTACCGGGATGCTTGTGCACAGAAGTCGATGATCGATTTGATAATCGTATCGTCTGACTTAAGACGTTGAGTGATTGATGCTCGCGTTAAGAGAGGTGCAGAACTGCCAGTTGATCATCATACTGTTGTTCACGTTACTCTGTAAGAAATGGAGTACCATACGAAGATCTGGTGGCAGAAGCAACCTGAGAATCAAAGGGAAACATTGTCTTCGGTGGACACGATAGCGAAATTTGCAAACAACATCGCACGAAGGTTTGAACGGATCCCAGCGATGACAACTGATGTTGAAACCGAGTGGCAGCTGTTTAAGTGAAGCCTACTCGAGGCTGCCGCCGAATGCTGCGGATACAAACGGGTTGGTCTGCCGCCTGGAGGTCTGAAATAATGTTCATGGTGGACGCGAGAGATTCAACTGGCAGTTAAAGAAAAGAAAGCAGCGTTCAAGAAATGGCTTGGAAACAACGAGCCTTCTAGCCGTATGCCATATGACTTGATATGGTCATGAATTGAACAATGGCGATGTAATAATGGTCACACAGTGTCGAAGTGAAGTTGTTAATCAAGGAGCAGCATCGTTGCCGGTAAAAATAGA